AAAAATTTAGCACAGAGGATTAACAAGTTATGGTCCCAGCCAGACAATGAAATAGCTATGCCACATAATTAAACTGGTGCCTAGAATTATGCATTCAATGTATATAAACGACCTAGAAAATGCAAGTTAATTTCAGTATCAGAAAGCAGCTCTGTATTTGGTTGGGTGAAAATGGTTTTGAAAGGAAGAATTAAAAGAAGTATAAGGCAGTCAAAGAACAATGCAGGAGGTATCACAATACCTGACTTCAAACTATATTACAAAGCAATAACAATAAAAAGCATGGTACTGGCACAAAAACAGACATGAAGACCAGTGGAACAGAATAGAGGATCCAGATATGAAGCCACACAACTAGCAACTTATCTTTGACAAAGGAGCTAAAAATATACGATGGAGAAATAGCAGCCTCTTCAACAAAAACTGCTGGGAAAACTGGTTAGCAGTCTGCAAAAAACTGAAACTAGATCCATGTATATCACCCTATACCAAGATTAACTCAAAATGGATCAAGGATCTTAATATCAGACCCAAACTCTAAGTTGATACAGAAAGAGTAGGAAATACTCTGGAGTTAGTAGGTATAGGTAAGAACTTTCTCAATGAAACCCCAGCAGCACAGCAACTAAGAGATAGCATAGATAAATGGGACCTCATAAAACTAAAAAGCTTCTGTTCATCAAAAGAAATGGTCTCTAAACTGAAGAGAACACCCACAGAGTGGGAGAAAATATTTGCCAATATACATCAGACAAAGGACTGATAACCAGAATATACAGGGAACTTAAAAAACTAAATTCTCCCAAAACTAATGAACCAATAAAGAAATGGGCAAGTGAACTAAACAGAACTTTCTCAAAAGAAGAAATTCAAATGGCCAGAAAACACATGAAAAAATGCTCACCATCTCTAGCAATAAAGGAAATGCAAATTAAAACCACACTAAGATTCCACCTCACCCCTGTTAGAATAGCCATCATCAGCAACACCACCAACAACAGGTGTTGGCGAGGATGCGGGGAAAAAGGAACCCTCTTACACTGTTGGTGGGAATGTAGACTAGTACAACCACTCTGGAAAAAAATTTGGAGGCTACTTAAAAAGCTGACATCGATCTACCATTTGATCCAGCAATACCACTCTTGGGGATATACCCAAAAGACTGTTACTCCAGAGGCACCTGCACATCCATGTTTATTGCGGCACTATTCACAATAGCCAAGTTATGGAAACAGCCAAGATGCCCCACTGACGAATGGATTAAGAAAATGTGGTATCTATACACAATGGAATTTTATGCAGCCATGAAGAAGAACGAAATGTTATCATTCGCTGGTAAATGGATGGAATTGGAGAACATCATTCTGAGTGAGGTTAGCCTGGCCCAAAAGACCAAAAATCGTATGTTCTCCCTCATATGTGGACATTAGATCAAGGGCAAACACAACAAGGGGATTGGACTATGAGCACATGATAAAAGCGAGAGCACACAAGGGAGGGGTGAGGATAGGTAAGACACCTAAAAAACTAGCAAGCATTTGTTGCCCTTAACGCAGAGAAACTAAAGCAGATACCTTAAAGCAACTGAGGCCAATAGGAAAAGGGGACCAGAAACTAGAGAAAAGGTTAGATCAAAAAGAATTAACCTAGAAGGTAACACCCACGCACAGGAAATCAATGTGAGTCAATGCCCTGTATAGCTATCCTTATCTCAACCAGCAAAACCCCTTGTTCCTTCCTATTATTGCTTATACTCTCTCTACAACAAAATTAGAGATAAGGGCAAAATAGTTTCTGCTGGGTATTGAGGGGGGGAGGGGAGGGGGGGAGTGGGTGGTAAGGGAGGGGTGGGGGCAGGGGGGAGAAATGAACCAAGCCTTGTATGCACATATGAATAATAAAAGAAAAATGAAAAAAAATAAAATAAAAAAAATAAAAGAAGTATAAGGAAACTTTTGGAAGTGATAGTTATGTTTCTTATATTTATTGTGATATTTTCATATATATATATATTTTCAAAATTTATCAACTTAAATACTTTGACATGTTACAGTTTATCTTAGTAAAGATGTTTTTCATTAGAGGCTGGGGGTATAACTCAAATGCAGAGTACACGCTTAGCATGCGCAAGACCCTGGGATCAATCTCCAGCACTTAAAAAATAAATAAGTAAAAACAATGTGAGAGACCTATATTTGATATGGAAAAGTATCAGAAATACTGCTTAGGAAAAAATTTAAAGTATGGTTTTACATGCACAAAATAAAACTGCGTATGTGACATTTGGAGAAAAGAAATATTCATGACATCTAGTATTCTAATCTGCTTTAATAAACTCATACATCAAATGAGAGTTTATATGCTGAAAATTAAATGTTAAATAAATAAAAGGCATTAATATTAACATAGTGTTTGATCCTGGCAAAAAACAGAATTAAATTCCAGGAGATGGCAAAAATAATCAGGTTTCAGAGAAATGCTCATCCCCCCCACCTTTTTTTTTTTGGTAGGACTGGAATTTGAACTCAGGGCTTTGCATTTGCAAAGCAGTCACTCTAACACTTGAGCCATACTTTCAGTCCAAGAGAAAGACTCATGAAGAGAGCCAATCTAACATTTGTTGAATGCTTTCTCTGGGTCAGATACCACATTAGATGATTCACAACACCCATTCTTTGCTTAAATTCTTACAACCAAATTGCAAGAATTGTTACCTCCATCTTACAGAATCATTCTACAAACACTAATTGGTCACTTTACAGTTCTCTCTCCTACCTTTTAGAAACAGAGAACCCTAAGATTAGCTGAGCATATGGCTACCCATCAAAGACTATTTAATTGTTTTGACCATATTTTTTAGTTCTGGATGAGGGATAAGGCATGTGACCACAAGCATCAAGGGTAACTTTCAGGTCAAATTATTTTTAAAAAGCTGTTACTCCTCTATTTGGTTTCACCTACCATGCAGGTTAGAATGAGGATATGGTGAGAATAAATCATTACAGCAATGCAGGCAGGGAAAACACCTTAGAGAATGGCAAAGAAACATGACAGAAGGTGTGTGGGTCTTTTAACAGTTTGCAATACCTCTGCACTACCTCTCTAGGTTGGGTTTTTATGAGAGAAAAATTAAAACAATTAAAACACAGTTATTCAGTCTATGTTAAAGCAGTAGAATCAAAAGCTCTAACTAATAGTCATGCAGCTAGTAAGTTAAAGTCAGAACACACAAATAACTGGCCTCAAAGCCTGAACATTTTCCATACCACCACAACATCCTAAGGGGAAGGGAAGAACTAAAGTAAATCAGACTCAGAGTTTGCTTCTTATTTATACTGGAAAATAAATCTAAAAGGGAGCGTTGAGAAAAAAGAGAAGTTCATTCTCCCCTGCTCCTTTTTATTTTACATACAATGCTTTCCATTTCTAAGAAGACATGAACTATATTAATATCAGCTAAGCTTTCAGACAAATGCATTACCAAGTACATAGTCAACTTAACCGGAATAATTATAAAATGTGTATGTACCCAGTCATGTCTTCTCAAAGTTGATTTTGAAATGCCTTTCACTATATCTTTCTGCCTCATCTCTAAGGTTTTCTCAGAAACACAGAACACTCTAAGAAATTAACAGAACTCTATATAAGAGTTGAACCCAAAGTACATACTTCAAACAAGAGAAAAGAATATTATCTTCAAGGTTTAAAGAGTATCTCTTCAACTCTTCAAATTAAATGTTTGTGTCTGCATATATATGCGTGGGTAGCAAATCAACATGACGGTGATTTCCTTCAATAGCTACTTTTGAGCAATGAAAGCAAGTGAGAAAACTGTTAGTCATCACACATTATTTCCCCCCATAAGTCTGTTCCTATGTCACTAATTAATGGAAGAATTATAGATAAAGCAGTGAAAACAAAATCCTGGGACACTTCCTAGATGTCCCTTCCTTCATATTTAATTACTAACTAAGAACTGTCAATTTTATCTTCTATAAATGTCTTTCAGATGTCTTCCTCTCTTCCATGTCCAATTTACCAATGCCTTGATTTCTCACCTGGGCTATGACAAGTGTCCTAACTAGTTTCTCTGCTTCACTTGCATTCTGTTGTAGGCTGACCTTTGAGGACAAACCTTTAAATGCCAGTGAAATAATGTCACTTCCTTACGTAAAACAAATGCTACCCTACAGATCTTTAAGATAAAGTTCAAACATTATTAAACTAAATATACTTAGCACTGGATGGTCTGCTTATAGCTAAACTAATGCTCTGTTCTCATATTTTGCCACTATTGTAATTATATCTTTACTCCTATCACACCTAAAAGAACTTTTTCAGGTGGCTTTATTTATAGTCATCTAGAAGAAATATGCTCTTAAAACACTGTGCCTCCCTTATCTGCCATTACCTATGAACCCTTCAAAATTCAACTCAGGAATGACCTCTTTCAGGAAGACCTCTTACTATTATTCATCTTCTCTCTTCCTACACAACTCTCTCAGCAGTACATCTTATATCATTTCATAATTGTTTAACCAGGTCTGTTAGCTTTTTTGTCACTTCTTTAAAAGGCATATTGTCCTCAATTTTGCAAAGAATTAACAGTCAAACATAAGTGCTTATTAAATGACTATATAAATAAATAAATCTGACCATCATATAAAAGCATAATAGATACACTTTATAATTACTTACCAAATTTTAGTGCTGCAAGGATTCAACATATAAAGGTCCATATTTTCTATAAGAATAGCAGATGTGCTCTATTTTAAAAAGAACAAAGGAAGTTTAATACTTAAGGAAAAAAAGTAGAAAAGTGGCTAATATTTATCAGTTAAGGATACAAAATTAACTTATCCTTCCACAACCTATTTAAAACTCAGTGTCCAAAGCCGGGCATGGTGGTGCACAGCTATAATCTGAGCTACTCAGTAGGCAGAGGCAGGAGGATTGCAAGTTCCAGGCCAGCAAGAGGAAAGTTAGTGAGACCCTATCTCAAAAAACAAAAGGGCTTGGGGGACACTGTTCAAGTGACAGAGCAAGCACCAGGCCATAAATTCAATCCCCAGTAACCCTCAATATCGGTTACTTTATTCTAAAGGAAAAATAACTTTCTATTAGTTATTTTCTTTGTAAGATTTCATAAAGGTTTTATAAGTTAAAAAAAGAATACAATATATCAACTAATATAACTAAAATGTCATAAGAGGCACACTCCTACATTTATTAGTGAATTGGAAATATAACACACATAAAATATAGTTCTCAGCATACCAAAGCCATGCCTATATTTAATAAAGTCACTGTACTTTCCTACATTTAGTTTTTAAAAAATTTATACTTAAGTACCTTGGCTTCTGGATTAGCTGCCAAAATTTTAGCTCCACATTCTACTGAGGCATAATTATTTCGATTTTTCTGAACCTTTTTGGTGGCATGTGGACCTCCATTAGAAGATGGATGCAATGACTGACCTGCAGACAAACCTTATTATAATCATACATATAATGATTATGATTGAAAATACCCCAGCAACACAATGACCTCAAAATCGATGACTTCTAGACAAGAACAGGTCTTAATACCTAACAGAACATTTAAAAAATATGTGAGAAATTTAAAATGCTTCACCCTAATAGCTTAGAAATAAGTCCAATAACAAGTTGACTATAAAAATTCACATTACTTGTTGTATGTCTGAATACAACAACATAAAATGAAGCTTGTCAATGAGAACCAAAGCTTTTTGTATATATATTTTTATTCTACTCAAGAGGCCTGCTATTTTTCTATCTGTAATTCCAACATTAAGAATTCTCAGCTCACATTTATGCTACAGAAGTGAAAAGAAAATGCCACAGTCTGTAGTTAAAAGCTTTGTGATGCAGGCAAAGTTTTGCCTCAATTTTCCTCCTATAAATTTAGATGAAAATCACCACACTGCTTACTCTTTTCTTATCCTACATTAGTACTCTACAAAAATGTGTTTTAATTAAGACTAAAACAGTATGTAGTTAGATACCAGTAAATGACATAAGAGTAATCAGCAGCCACTTAGAAAAAATTCTTTTAAAAAGCAAGGCACAGCAGCTTGTGCCTATAATCCTAGCTACTCAGGAGGTGGAAATCAGGAGGATGATTTCATTCAGTAAAGCTGAGCATGACAGTACATGCCAGTGATCCAGCTATGGTAGAGGCCGGAGATAGGAGGATCACTGTTCAAGGCCAGCTGGGAAGACCCTATCCAAAAAATAACTAAAGCAAAAAAAGGGCTGGAACATGGCTCAAGTGGTAGAGTGCCTACAAATAATTTAAAAACAGTTATCATCAAGAACACCACCAACAAAAAATATGGGCAAGGATGCAGGGAAAAAGGAACCCTCATACACTGCTGGTAGGAATGTAAGCTAGTACAACCACTTTGGAAAACAATATGGAGGTTTCTTAAAAAAACTAGAAGTAGATCTGCAATCCCACTCCTAGGGATATATCCAAAGGAATGCAACTCAGGTTGCTACAAAGGCATCTGCACACCCATGTTTATTGCAGCACTATTCACAACAGCCAACCTATGGAAACAGCCAAGATGCCCCACTCCCGACAAATGGATTAAGAAAATGTAGTAATTTATACACAGTGGAATTTTATTCAGCCACAAAGAAGAATTAAATTTTGTCATTCGCAAGTAAATGGATGGAATTGGAGAACATCATCTTAAGCAAAGTTAGCCAGGCTCAGAAAGCCAAAAATTGTATGCTCTCCCTCATATGTGGATTATAGACATAAAACAAATGCAGTAGTACTATTGGACGTGGGGTCACACACTAAGGGGAGGAAACCTAAAACTTGATGGTTGATGTGCTCACTGTAGAGGAGCGAATATAGTAATCTTAAACTGGCAGAGGCCACTATGGAAGGGGACTAGGAAGTAGTGAATTGGTAGAGATGAACCAATGTGGGTTGCAATACACATGTGCATGGAAGCAATGCTAGGAATCTTTCTATATAGCTATCTTTATCTCAAGCTAGCAAAAACGCTATGTCTTCCTTATTATTTTCTACATTTTCTCTTCAACAAAATCAGAGTAAGAGGACAGAACAGAAGCTAGAGGGTGTGGGTAGGAGGTGACCCAAACAATGTAAATGTATGTGAGTAAATTTAAAAATGATTTAAAAAAAAAAGAATCCCAGTGCTTCCTTACTTTTTTCTTTTTCTACTTCCATAACTTTCTTCTTCCACTCATCAAATGTTGGTATATCTTCTGGATCTTTGGGACTTGCTACAGATGTAGGGTCAGCTTCTCCTGATTTTGTATAATCAGAACTCTGAAAGAAATGCAAAAAATAAGTAAAATAGACTTCAACCTTCAAAGAATACAAGTTTAATCTAATAAATAATGATAAAAAAATTTACTAGAACTGATATCTCTTGAAAGAAAGAACTGAAAGCATTTCTACCTAAGCACCTCAGGATGTATTCCTTTGCATAAGCAAAGGAACTTTTTAAAAAATTGTGTATCCTAAGCAAACAATGACTTAAAAGACTCCCCAAATTTGTACATGTATACATACTATACACACATGCACACACACATGTGTGGGGACTTTTAAGGTAGTACATCCACCTTAAAAGTTAAAAGAACACTCAACTTTAATAAAAAGTACCATGTACATAAAAACTTAAGACATAATTGAAAGTTTCCATACAGAACTTCACACTTCAAAAGAATTCAGAAAAACCTGTTTATGACTCAGGCTAGTAAAAGGATTTAACAAGATGCAGAATGCGTAAGATGCATTTTTTAAAAGCTGAGACATTGGTAACATTAAAATTGAAAAACTAAATAAATCAAAGACCATAAACTACATAAAGCAACAAACTACAGACAAAGAAGTATTTGTGACACATTCAGCCAACAAAGGAATGCCTCTAAAGAATGGCTACAAATCAGAAAGCAGGAAAGGGAATACAAACAAATTCATCAAAAGGAAAATGGCATTTTAATAGTAATCATGAAATGTAAGTGAAAACCAGAAATATAAATTATACCAATCTCACAGAAGCTAAACTGTAACAGTCTGTAGCAAAGTGTGGCATGTCTGTCAACTCATGGGGACTCTTAGCAGACTGCAGAAGGAATTTTAAAATTTAGTAATAGTGAGATGTATATACCCACTAACTCCACTCCTACGTACAAACATCAATGAAAACACATGTAGCTAAGAAAATATGCACAAGAATACTCACTGTAGCACTGTTTTTAAATAAAAAATTAGAGCCAGGTGCCTGTGGCTCACACCTATAATTCTAGCTACTTGGGAGACTGACTGAGATCTTTGCTCCTTGAGGCAAACAGTTCTTAAGACCCCATCTCCAAAATAACCAGAGCATAAAGGACTGGAGGTGTGACTCAAGCAATATAGCACCTACTTTGCAAGTGAGAAGCCATGAGTTGAAACCCCAGTCCCACCAAAAAAAAGGTTTTTTTGAAAAAGACCTAAATATCTATTAACTAAAAACAATGAATGGATAAATCTCAAAACCAATATTGAGTAAAGTACTACTTTACAGCAAGAATTATATCATCCTATATTGTTTCAAAATAAACCAAATAACGATATGTACTATTTATGGTCATTTGGAAAGTGCTTTCTTAAAAAACCCCATCAAACTCACGATAGTGTTACATCTGAAGTGGGGAGGAAGAATACAGCTGAGGACAGAGCATATAATCTGATTATTTTTCTCGAGTAGAATAATGCGTACACAGATGTTTGCTCATTATTTAGCCCTTTGTATATTCCTAAAACAATGCTTAATGCATTTATTAACAGAATCTTGAGAAGTGTCAAAGTCTCAGACTGGTAAATAGCCCAAGTCTCATTAAGCATATATTTGCTATCTTAGAGCATGCTTTTGAACACCAATGCCTGTGATTTCTGGTACGTTGCACTTTATTTTCTATGAAAGGAAGCAGAGTCATTCCCAACCATTCCTCTAGAAACACTTATCAGTTTGGTTTCCATACAAACTTCAATTTTGGAAGTACTAAGTCTGTGGCTACTTTAAAAAAAAAAAAAAAAAAGATCCAGGCATGGTGGTACATAATTTCAGCATTTTCAGGAGGCTGAGGCAGGAAGATTTTGAGTTCAATGCCTGATTAAGCTATATAGCAAGCAAAGCCTTGTCCCCACCCACATCCGTAAAAAGTAAAAATAAAAAGCTAGTATTCTAACTGTTTAAATTACATGATAAAAATCTAGTATGAATATATTGAAAAAATAAACAACAAAGAGGTATAGAAATTCACCTGTCTCTAAGGTAACGAAGAGCAACTTCAGTATGATAGTAGTCAAGCAGAACAAATTTAGGACAAAGACGGCTGCTGTGCTTCAATTTCACATTTGATACTTAAAACAGTTTACTTAGTTTTACTTATGGATGTGATAGTTAATAATTGGTTTCGTTAGGAAAATTAAAATTAGTTTCCTTAAGATGTTGGACTATGAAACACTGAGCTCCTATATTTCTAAGAAACATAATAGACACAGCTAGTGCTGTGATAGTGAAAGTTTCCAGAATAAAGTTTAGTTAGTAGTAAGTATAAATTCACTGAAAATTTGTGAAAGTAGAGAAAGAACTCTCCAAATTAAGAAGGAATAAATGTGGATGTGGTACTCCACAATTTCAACTATTCTTTGATTCCATTTAATTTGTTTTTAAGTTCATGAAAAGGTCTTCATCTCTTGACTTAGTTATATCTAACCTGAGGGGACCCTAAACTGCTGCCATTACCACTTCTACACGAAGTTAAAGTAGACTTCAGAAGGGGAAAAGAAAATAAAACTGTTCCACTGTGATAAACATTCTGAAATATAAGTTGGTCTAGTTTTATTCTACATGTAAGTAACAAAAGGTAAAATATCCCTTTAAAGATTCTAGTTGAAGAGCATCCATCTGATCTTATCTTATTGAAGTGATATTCTGAAGATTCTTAAATAGTTATAACTTCCATATAGGTCTCTAAGAAACTGCTTAAGTAAGGACTTTCGTATGTGGTATCAAGTAGTTATATCTAACCAAAGGGAGTTTATATATGAAACAACTTTATCAATTCTGTACTGGAAAAGAGTACCAATGGCTCTCAGGAAGTATAGTCAGTTCCACATATTAACTACTTAATCTCCCTATAATTTTATGAAAAACATGATTATAAAGAGGCTAATAACAAAAATACATTATATAAGAAAGCAATAAGTAGGAGATAGTACAAGTTATATACTAACCTCATTTTTTAAATTATCTGAAGCATTCAATGTAGATTTTGGATCATCACCATCTTGTTCACTTGCTGAAACATTTGATTCAAATTCTGATTTTGTTATCTTTCCTTTGCCATGTGAAGATGACACATTTTCTATATGCTGGTCAGCAAGGCTATTTAAGATCAAAAGACATAAACAAATTTTAGCTAAATAGTAAGGTTTTTTGTTATTGTTGTTTTGTTTTGGGGGGAGCAGTACTGGGATTTGAACTCAGGGCCTTGAGCTTATTAGTAGAGCATTCTACTACTTGGCCCACATTCCCCAGTCATTTCTGCTTTGATTTGTTTGCAGATAATGTCTCACTAACTTTTTGCCCAAGCTGAGCTAGAACTGTGATCCTCCAATCTCTGCCTCCCAAGTAGCAGGGATTATAGATAAGGTTTGTTTGTTTTGTTTTGTTTTTGTTTTTTTAACAATGAACTGCTGTAATTATCAAATACAAAGTAAAACCAAGAAAGGAACACAGAACTGATCAATTTCTCTCAATTGTAAAGGTGGAATAAAATAGGCACCAAGAACCATCAAACATGGCAGCTGAGGTTTTGTTACAGAACATATCACAAGCTGGGTGTGGTGGAGCATGTTCTGTAATCGTGGTATTCAGGAGGCTTAGGCGTAGAATATCAAGTTCAAAGCCACGCCAGGTTTACAGAGCAAAGCCCTGTCCTCTAAGCACCACAAAACAAAAATAACAAAAAAACAAAAAGAATGCTACCAACACACAATTTCTCATACTCACCTTTCAGGTGGACTGACAAAGGAGGTTGTTCAAACTGAGGCCACACCAACGTTCACAAATCAACGCACAATCATTTGAGGGTGCTCAGTTTCACTTGGCTTGGTGTAGATATAGTACAGATTTTTCTATTTCACTAAAAGAAGAAAAAGACAACCTGGTAATTTAAGAGACTTAATGAAATAGAAGTTAAAAATGTTTTGATTTCTGAACTATCTAAGCCAAAGAAAGAAGAATACTTTAATAGTTCTGCAACATGTTTTTAAAGAATCACTTATTTAAACCAGGCATGGTGGCCACATGCCTGTAAATCCTTGTACCTAGGAGGCTGAAGTAGGAGGATTCAGAGATCAAGGCCAGCCTGGGCTACTTAAGTAATGTAAAATCAACTGTTGAGTGATTGTTAGTGTTCTCGGTTTCTAAAAATCTAAAATATAATTTTAAAACAAAATATTATAGGTTAGTATTTGGTCTAATTAAAAAATAAAGAGTTTTACTCAGGAATGCTTTGGCTATTAAAGGTATTTTATGCTTCTACATGAATTTTAGGATTTTTCTACTTCTAATGATATTGAGATTTTGAAACCAATAAAAAAAAAAATTTGAAAATTTTGAAGAAATGGACAGATTTCTAGAAACTTACAACCACCCAAAACTGAACCAAGAGGATATTAATCACCTGAATAGATCTATAACACAAAAAGAAATTGAAGCAGCAATCAAGAGTCTCCCAGAAAAGAAAAGTTCACGACCTGATGGATACATTGCTGAATTCTATCAGACGTTTAAAGAAGAACTAATACCAACTCTTCTTAACCTGTTCCACAAAATAGAAAGGGAAGGAACACTGCCTAACTCATTTTATGAAGTCAGTATTACTCTCATCCCAAAACCAAACAAAGACACCTACCTCCAAAAAGGAGACCTACAATTTCTTTAATGAATATTGATGCAAAAATCCTTAATAAAATAATGGCAAACCAAATCCAACAACACATCAGAAAGATCATACACCCTGACCAAGTCAGCTTCATCCCAGGGATGCAGGAGTGGTTCAACATATGCAAATCTATAAACGTAATACAGCACATCAATAGAAGCAAAGACAAAAACCACTTGATCATCTCGATAGATGCAGAAAAAGCCTTCAACAAGATCCAACACCACTTCATGATAAAAGCTCTAAGAAAACTAGTAACAAAATGAATGTACCTCAACATTGTAAAGGCTACATGTGACAAACCTACAGCCAACATCATACTTAATATGAAAAACTGAAACCATTCCCCATAAAATCAGGAACGAGACAAGGATGTCCACTATCCCCACTCCTATTCAACATAGTACTGGAATTTCTAGGCACAGCAATTAGGCAAGAAGAAGAAATAAAAGGAATACAAACAGGTAAAGAAACTGTCAAAATATCCTTATTTGCAGACAATATGATCCTGTACCTTAAAGACCCAAAAAACTCTACCAAAAACTCTTAGACACCATAAACAGGTATAGCAAGGTAGCAGAATACAAAATCAACTTACAAAAATCATTAGCTTTTCTATACACCAACAACGAACAAACTGAGGAGGAATATATGGAAACAATTCCATTCATGATAGCCTCAAAAAAAATTAAATAATCTAGGAGCAAATTTAACAAAGCATATGAATGACCTCTACAAGGAGAATTACAAACTCCTGAAGAAAAAGATCAAGGAAGACTACAGAAGATGGAAAGATCTCCCATGCTCATGGATTGGTAGAATCAACAGTAAAAATGGCTATACTACCGAAAGCAATCAACATGTTTAAAGCAATTCCCATCAAAATCCCAATGACTTTCATCACAGAGATTGAAAAATCTACCTTAAAGTTTATTTGGAAACACAAGAGACTGTGAAAAGCCAAGGCAATACTCAGCAAAAAGAGCAATGTTGAAGGTATCACAATACCTGACTTCAAACTATATTACAAAGCAATAGCAGTAAAAACAACATGGTACTGGCACAAAAGCAGACATGAAGGCCAGTGGAACAGAATAGAAGACCCGGATATGAATCCATACAACTATACCCACCTCATTTTTGACAAAGGTGCCAAAAATATACGATGGAGAAAAGATACCCTCTTCAACAAATGTTGCTGGGAAAAGTGGTTACTTACCCATGTGCAAAAAAACTGAAACTAGAATCCATGTCTATCACCTTGTACTAGTATCAAATCAAAATGGATCTAGGACCTAAATATCAGACCTGAAACTCTGAAGTTACTACAGGAAGGAGCAGGAAACACTCTGGAACTAATAGGTATAGGCAAAGACTTCCTCAATAGAACTCCAGCAACCCAGCAACTAAGATAAAAGATGGACAAGAGGGACTTCATAAAATTAAAAAGCTTCTGCACAACAAAAGAAATAGTCTCTAAACTGAAGAGACCACCCACAGAGTGGGAGAAAATATTTGCCAGCTGTACATCAGACAAGGGACTGATAACCAGAATATACAGGGAACTTAAGAAACTAAACTTGCCTAAAAATCAATGAACCAATTAAGAAATGGGCAACTGAACTAAACAGAACTTTCTCAAAAGAAGAAATTCAAATGGCCAAAAAACACATGAAAAAATGTTCACTATCTCTAGCCGTAAAGGAAATGCAAATCAAAACCACACTAAGATTCCACTTCACCCCTGTTAGAATAGCCATCATCAAAAACACCACCAACAACATGTGTTGGCGAGGATGTGGGGAAAAAGGAACCCTGATACACTGCTGGTGGGAATGCAAACTGGTGCAACCACTCTGGAAAAAAATTTGGAGGTCTCTTAAAAATCTAAACATAGATCTGCCATATGATCCAGCAATCCCACTCCTGGGGATATACCCCAGGCACCTGCACACCCATGTTTATTGCAGCACTATTCACAATAGACAAGTTATGGCAACAACCAAGATGCCCCACTAGTGATGAATGGATTAAGAAAATGTGGTACTTGTACACAATAGAATTTTACTCAGCCATGAAGAAGAATGAAATCTTATTGTTTGCAGGTAAATGGATGGAAGTAGAGAACATCATTCTGAGTGAGGTTAGTCAGGCTCAGAAGACCAAAAATCGTATGTTCTCCCTCATATGCGGACTTTAGATCTAGGGCAAATGCAGCAATGTGGTTGGACTTGGATCACATGACAAGGGGAGAGCACGTATGGGAGATATAGGAATCGGTAGAAAATCCAAAATATGAAAGCGCATGATGTCCCCACTCCAGAGGAACTAATACAGAAACCTTAAAATGACAGAAGTTAAAATGAGAAGGGGATCAGGAACCAGCGTAAAGATCAGTTAGAGATGAATCAACTTTGGTTGTAACACATGTGTATACGAAAGCAATGCTAGGAATATTTCTGTATAGCTATTCTTAACTCAACTAGCAAAAACACTTTGTCTTCCTTATTATGCTTATGTCTTTTCTTCAACAAAATTAGAGATAAGGACAGAACAGGTTCTGCCTGGAAGTGAGGGGGGGAGAGAGGGTGGGGGCGGAGGGAAGAGGGGAGAAATGACCCAAACAATGTATGCACATGTGAATAAATGAATAATTAAAAAAATAAATAAAGACTTCAAAATTTATTCTAAATTACCTTCTCTAACATTAAAATTCTACCTGTTAGTATTAATTCTGTCAATATTATTGTCTACAGCATCAATAACCACCTGTTATCAAGAAATTTCACTAAATTTCTAAGGAATTTTTAGAATTTCACTTTAAAAATACATACAGTAATATTTTTACCTTTTTCCACTCCCAGTGCTCTAAAAAGCCATTTTTAAAATAATGGGAGAGCAGGATATGTAATATCTAATCTTAAATTATTCCTTTAACAGGAAATACTTAACATAGTACTAAAAAAGGGCATTTTTTTGTTTTGTTCTTTGGAATACTGCTGGAAGGAGCTCAGAGGTGTATATAACTGATTTTGTAAATTAAGGATAACTTAAGCTTAAATATTCTAAGTATTCAGTAAGTTCCAAAAAAGGTAGTTCATACAAAGACATAACTAAGAATGGAATACCAGTAATACTTACTGGAAATGAATTAACCTGACATTCCTTGAAGTAGGCTGCTAATTAAATAAACGTGTCATATGATAATCACTCAATACACACACACACACACGAAAACACAGGTATTATAAATTAAGTCTGCTATATAGCCTAAACTTCAAACTTGAGTATCAAGCGCTGCCTTATTCTATTAAGAAAATGTTCTATTTATTAACTAGGGATATCCCCCTGCCCCGACCAAATCCTCCAATGACTTACTCAAGCTTTGAGAATGGAGTGATTTCTGAGGTAGATAAATTGGAAATATTTTCAACGTTTTCACTGTTCATAAGTACACTGGAAGAATCTTCTTGTAAATCAACTGTAGGGAGTGTCTCAACCACAGGTGAACTTAACTTTCTGACACTGTATGCTGTTTAAAAAAAAAAAAAACACTTAAATGTTAAGATTAATAAATAATCTCTTTGCTAAACAAGAGTGTATAGAAAACTGAAAACAATCATACAAAGAATGTTCAAGTGCTGTGGGTATAGCTCAGTGGTAAAGTGCTTCCCTAGCATGCATGAGGCCCCTGGTTCAATCCCCAGCACCATAAAAAAATAAAAAGGTCAGTAAAAAAGTATTTATTAAAAAGAATCCTTCCTTCTACCATTACTACCCTAAGGAATATATTGCTATTAAATACTGGCTGTACACACTTTTCGTGGCATCTCATAAGTTAGCACAAAAAGCTTGTCCCTTTTCTCCTCTACCTCCCATTTTGTATTAGGACCTACAAATATTTATGTTACTATAATTCATAACTACTAGTAGCAACTAAGAAATTATATGTTTTAGACATACAAAATAGTGAAACACAGTTCCTATCCCTAAACAGTTTAGGAAATAAACAACAGTACATGAACAAGTACTATAACAAAGCAATAAATGATTCTTGCTGCTCCTTCAGTCCTGAATAACCTGGCTCATTTACCCCTAACTCCCAACCTTCTACAAAACATAAACCTACCTAAGACCTAACTTATAATTGAAAATCTCTATTAGTACCTCCTCCCCTGTAACCAACACTAAGTACAATTACCCCTTCCTCTATTCCTCTACTGTGCCCTGCATAAGCTTTTATAACAGTATCTGTAACATCTTCTATTGCCATTATTTATGTTTCCCTCTTTTCTTTAACTATATTGTAAGCACCTGAGTAAGGACTAAGTTCTAGTTGATGTTTATATTACTGGCACAGTTATGGACTTAAATTTTTAATAAATGAATTAACAAGAGAGAGGGATTCTTACTCAATTGAAGGAACAGAATCTATGGGCTATAAATACAAAATATTGTGCTCAACAAATACTTTATTTTGTTGTAAATGAAGCAAGTTAGAAAAAATATGGTATCAAATATGATATGAAGACAACATTTATTATGAGTCAAAATGGAAGCTAGAAAATGAGGTCTTACACCCAAAATTTTACTTAAAAAAGAACAGTCATATTTATTATTAAATCTGTAACTTTACATTTTCTCAAAAGCAATACCATTATCAGATGAGTAATCTTAAAGTTCTGTTACATGGCACTTAGAAGGAAAAACAACATGCAATATGTGACCAAACAGAGGCATTCTATTTTTTAGTTTTTAAGGTTATATTATTAAAAATCAAAGCAACACAGCTTACTTGTACATCCACAATGTAGTTATCCCTTAATTTATTTTCTTCTGGTGGAACAGGTAAATTTGAAGCTGATTTTCCCAGTAATTCATCATTAGTAAGTCCCTCTCTTTCATCCTATATTGCAACAAAGAAAAAAAGACTAACTAATAAAACTATTTCACAAAACAGTCTTAAGGCCAACTCTTTCTAAACTTTGAAACCAAGAAGTATCTTGCATGCACTTAACTCTACTGCATGCTTGTTTTCTATCTCCCTATGTTCCTTTTCTTGCCACTACATTTAAAATGTGCAATATATGAGTTGAAGAATCTCACTGGATGCTTAATAAGCCCTATGATGCATTCAGCATGTAGAAAAACTTCGATAAATATTTGACAAATGAATGTCTGTAAGGTTTTTGTTTCATCTGTCTTTTGATACGTGTTCACATTCAAGTTAGGATTTTCACTATTTTTATGTCTTTAAGTGTGTCTTCTAGAATATAAATTTCATAAAGGCAAAGTTCATATTCATCTCTGTTTACCTGGAACTACTAGATAAATGCCAGAATATGTTTTCCCTACTTAAATCCATTTTTATATTTTGTTTTCAAATACATCATAAAGAAGCAATAGCTTTTTTGAAAAATATTTATCAAGTTTTCAAAACTGTTCATATACCACCCCAGAAATATATTCTACATAAATCAAAAAATTTAAATAATCCATTCCAAATATCATGGCAAAAGCCCCAAGGCATGTAAATGTAATGTAAGTGGCAAATATATGTGTAGATATACACATGCACTGCATTCATATGCACACATACATGCACAGACAGCTGGGAAAGAACGCAAAAGTCCACCAATAAGGAAATGATAAAGAACTGATGGCATATCTATAAGATGGAATGAACATGCAGCCATTCAGAAGAACCCATCAACATGAAAAGCTGATATGGGTGATATTGTTGGAGTAGGGTGATTTACATTTATGTGGTACTTGAATGGACACAAAAATATTAATTTGTGTGCATATAAAAAGGTACATCTACACCCATAGAAAAAGGTCTGAACATTTCACAACAATCAGTAAACTGTGGCTCCTTTGGGGACAGGAATAGTACATGAATATTATGTAGTCATATAAATTATTTCTGTAATGTAAAATAAGTACATTGAAATTGTAGGCAAAAGCCAAATCTAAGGCCATGTGCTGATGGCTCAGACCTACAATCGTAGCTGCTGTGGAGGCTGAGATCAGGAGGACTACAGCTCAAAGGCCCAGGCCTAAAAGCTGTGCACAGTTGGTGGCATGTGCCTGTCAACCCAGCGACTACTGGAGGCATCAACAGCAGGATTGTAATCCAGGCAGGCCAGGCAAAAAGGGAGACCCTGTCTCAAAAGCTGCCAGAGCAAAAAGGACTGGAGGCATGGCTCAAGTGATAAAGCATCTGCCTAGCAAGGATAAAACCCTGAGTTCAAACCCCAGTATTAAAAAAAAAAAAAAAAAAAGCCAAGTCTAGTCAATATTCACCTTTTAGCATTTAAAATGGTGAACTAGTAAGTGATTCAAAGACTAAGGTGTTTTGGATTCTGTCTATTCACTGTACCTAATTATATATAACAAACTATGAAGTCACCAAATGCAAATTCTCCCTGTAATATTCATTTCTAATAACTTTCAAGTTATAAAACCATATTTAAAGCATTAAAAAGAAAATATTTTTCAGTTCTTTGAACATGCACTATTTTTTCTCCCTAATGTAAACTAAGGATATTAATGAAATATCAATACAAGCAACAAGAATACATATATAAATATCTCTCTAAGCTATCTCAATTTCAGAATTACTTGAGTAGCTCCTTGTATTATAGCAAGGAAAAATACAAATTTCCATCAAAAAAACTGTGGCACAGTAGTTTTGAAGTTACTTTCATTCTAAATGTTTTGAGACAGTCTTTAGAACGCTGACCCACAAATTAAAATGTCAACATTATTTAAGGTACCTTTTTCTGGAATTGCACATCTTCATTTTCTAGTACGCAACTGTGATCTTGAGAGTAATATGATGTTGAAGCTGAAGAACTCTCTTTACAACATACGTGCCAACTAGGAAGCCTATAAAACACCCACCACCAGAATGATTAAAAAAAAAAGTAGGGGGGGGAGAATGAAAAATTGTTAAGTCAACACAGTCCCCATATGAGCTAAAATTTGAGGCAATAAACAGGTTCCTATCTTAATATACTCAAGAACATAGCAACATGAAGAAATTTAATACCCTAGGAGAAACATAAACAGTTTTATCAACATTCCAAATAAAGCATTATGAATTCTAAGAAGCCATAACAGGACAGACTTCACAAAAGTAGTTTCTGATAATTATATTATCATAAAAGAAACAGAGAATGGTGTCAAAAAGCTAACCTCCTGAGAAAGTGCCAGGTGCCAATGATATTCTAAATTCTAAGAAGTATTTAAAGATCACTCTAATGCTTAAGCTACTTCAAAGCACACAAGTGAAGCTTCCAAACTCTTTTACATAGGGAACATTGACATCAAGAACAGAAACAGCACACAAACAAATACTATAGGTTAGTAAGATTATGAATTAAGATGCAAAACTTCTAAATAAAAGAATGTAGGAATTCTCTAGGAATATATCAAAAGAGGAATATACCACTGCTATGATCAGGTAGTTTAGCTCTGATATCCAAAACTGGTTTGATATAATAAAAATTGTTTGCCATGTGCATGAAGGAAAAATATGATTATCTCTACTCCCACTGAAAGGCATCTGACAAACATCCAGTCATCAAAATTCTTTAAATCAGTAATAAGTATGTAGTTAATGTAGTAAACATATGCATAATGTAAAATCCTAAAACACAGTATCACACTTATAAAGAAACCAAAAAATATCCCATATACCTCTGTAATAAGACAACCATGTCCATCATCACTAGTCATACCCAGTATTAGAATAAAAGAGGTATGGAAATGGAAAAGCTGGAGTTGGACATCAGGAAGCACTGCCAGGTAAAAGTACTGCCAGCAGCAAGGTGATACTGGAATCCCCATTTCCTGGCTGCAGAAAACCGAGGCTCTACTTTGATGCCAGAGATGGTAGTGGGGGCAGCTTGCACCAGCATGCTTTAACAATAGTCACAGTCCATGGAGTTCTCAGATTTACCTCCATTTCTATGTGATAGTTGTTCAGGAATGTTACCTGTCTAGCAACACAAACCTTTGAACACAGAAGCAAGGACTCTCATGGTTATCCTGAGTTGAATGCAATCAGTTAAAGAATGAAAACAGATAAACATAAATCTGACCTATGCTCATTCAAGGACTGTGCTGAAAAAACACTTGGAGCAGTTACATGTCCTTATTCTAGAAGAATTTTTGCCATCATCAGAGTGTGAGAAACTGGAAATCCCAAAGTCTCTGATTGTTTCCACTTAGAAAGTTGTAAAAGACATTACTGATTGCAAGACAGGAGAAAAAGCAAGTACAGGATAGAAGGTGCAACTTCACTAGTCAGTCTTAAAAATGACAATGACAAATTAACAGCTATGAAATTAAGATTATGTCACAGTACTTCTGGCAAAGACTTATCCTTGGATCATACTTTGGAAACCTGGATTACTAAGAAGGATTGTCCTTTATATAATGGTAGAATTATTATTATTATTATTATTATTATTATTATATTTTTGATACAGGGGTTTGAACTCAGGGCGTCACACTTGCTAGGCAAGTACTCTACTGTTTAAGCCCTTGTTTTGGACTATCTTAACGATGTATCTTAGGGTTCCAGCCAGAAATATCAAAGAAAATTCTATGTTGTACATGTTTAAGTCTATTACTTTAACTAAGAAACTATTTTGTTTTGACTTTTAAAAGTTGCCTTTTATTTCTACTTTGTCATATGTCATTATCAGTTTCCTATCAAGTTAGAGTTTCTGTGTTTTAAAGTGTAACTATGTGTTGATACGCAGTTATTAACGAATTCTTAATTAACTTTACTAGGTTATGCTGTAGAAATATCAGCAAAGGTGTGTTTCTGTTGATTGGCTATGGTACTGCTCCATGTCACCTTCACTCCAGGATCCAAGCCAAAAGAACAATTCCCTTTTTGTGACTCTGCTGTTCTTATGGCAGAGGAAGTAGGAAATAGTATACGTTTCAGTTGGCTCTCAAAAGTTATTATCTGTCATGTGTGCTTTAAGCAAGCCACATGTTCATGCCTAGTATTATGGAACCAGAGTGTCTAGCCTTACTGTCTACCTATATCATGGCATATAAATCAATATATGTACATGAACTATAGAAACTGAAAGATCAACTCATTCAGTCTTCTAAGTTTTTGGATGAGGAATCATAGGCTTAAGAAGGGAAAATCATTCTCTTGGCATCATCTAACTGTGTTGGTGCATATTTCTGATTAAAAAAAAAACCCTCCCTTCAGTAGGATTCATCTCTTTTGTTTGTATGAATGTATTATAAATGAAAAGACAGGATAGCCCTATCTCATTATAGTTTTTTTTCTATATATACCAAAGCAAAATACATACCAAAAGTAACTACATTTTACCAACAAAGTATGCTTCTGCCTAATGTTTTCTGTCTATACCCAACAAAGCACTACTATATAGAAGGAATAGAAGTTATTTCTATTTGTTCTTTGTCCTGTGCTAATTTATCATGCACATGGCTTGATACAGTGGCTTTAGGTTTAATCAAAGGAATAAACTCATAATGCCCTAACAAAAAGGAATTGGAAAAGTACACAATAAAATTAATGAGTTGCAAATACAAATTTACCTGTGTTCTGCAGATGAGTTTATGTAAGTGGAAAATTCAAGAGTTATTTATTAAAAGTTCTAGGTGTAAAAAAATTATACTCTAAGTATAAAATCAAGAGACAAATCCACAGACTTTCTATACTCAAACCATCATCACCAGTTATAAAAGGTTATTAGGTCTATATTTATAATAGAAAACATCAATATCTAAACTTTACAATAAGCCTTACATTAAAAAGAACTATTTGAAATTTCTAAAATCTGACAATAGTTTTACTTAAAAATGTCAATTTCACACAAAAATAACAATATATAAGGAAGATTGAGAAACTAAATATTGAGATGTAAAAATGGAGACATTTTATATAAAAAGCCAAAAGTAGTAAAGATTCTGATATGAAGGGAATATACCTAACTGAGACTACAATAGTTACAACAATATAGGGAGGCGCTGAGAGAGGTAAAAGGAATCCTCAATGTGTCTACAAAGAGAAATTCCATGAGAATAGTTGCAAACAAGGAATAGAGGGAAATATATTTTATATATATAAATATATTCATAACGAATACTGACCTAAACCAAATTATGACAGAAGTAAATGTATTTGCAGCATGTAGCTAAAAGAATCTAATCACCCGCAGTAGAACAGTTAAAATTGATATTAAAGCAATTATTTTACAGACAAAGAGGTAAATACCAAATTAATCACTTAAGAGATGGAAAGTAGCTTCCTTGATAAGAAAAACTGAGGAAAAACAGAGAAAGGAATAGTTTCTTGGGGGTGGGCACCTTCTAGAGCTATATGGCTTTTTAAACTATGAGTTTACTAAAACTAAAAGAAAATGAAGGGGAAAGTACATAACAATACAGTGGGATGCTACAGTGCATACATTTAATTCATGCATAAATTTCTTTCCAGAAAGAAAAGTGTGTGGCAAAGGTAACAGGAAGATTACTTTTACTGATAAGCTATGTCTTTTGCATTCTGAATAAGAAAACTTTAGGAAAAAAATGTAAAAAAAGTAAAGTGTTTAATTTTACTAGATTTTTTTCTACAATATTAACAGGATACAAAATTTACACATGTAATATGATCTTAATACACAATTGTCATGTCATCCCTTGCCTGTGCTTTTGCTTTCCACAGTTTCAGTTACATTCAACCACAGGTCAAAAATATTAAATGGAAAATTCTAGAATAATTTCCAAGTTTTAAACTTCACAGTATTCTGAGTAGCAAGATAAAAACCTGAAGCAGTCCTAGTGGGACACGAATCATGTCTTTGTCTACCACATCCACACTGTATACACTACCTGCCCGTATAGTCAATTAGTAGCCAGAGGATTATCAGATCCACTGTGGCAGTATCATAGTGCTGTGTTCTAGCCTTTATCTTATTCAATAATGGCCCGAAGAGTAGTGACATTGGCAATTCAGGTATGCCAAAGGGAAGCAGTAAAGTGCTCCTGAAACAAAAAGGTTAAGTGCCATAAGACAGTCATTCATATAATTTTTATTACAGTAAATTTTCATAACTGTTCTACTTACTATTAGTAACTCTGTTAATCTCTTACTGTGCCTAATGTATAAGTTAAATTTATCACAGGTAGGTATACATACCAAAAAAAAAAAAAAGCACAATATATTTACGGTTCAAAACTATCTGCAGTTTTGGAGAAACAACCATTTAATTACTGCCACTACTCAAGGTATTCAAGAGTTCTCCCTACCTAAAAAAGTTACTGAAGTACTAAAGTATTTTATCCTGAAAAAAAAAATCATGATACATATAAATCTATCTTTCCTACCTAGTACAGGATAGAAGCTAATTAAAGCAGGTTTTTAGTGTGCAGAAAAAAATACGACCTCCTTAGAAGATTCAAAGATACATGAGACTCTGCCCTCAAGCTCTTCCCATGTGAGTTAGGGAAGACATGCACATGCACAGAATCAGAGAAATCGATCTGTGATAATATCAGGCTTAACATTCCACTTACGAAAAAACTTAACATAGACAAAAGTAAGAGTAAAAAAACTATCACAAAATAAGAGCAAAAAATTAAGCCATCAAAGTAAAATGGGAGTATCTCAAACCCATTCCAACTTTGTTAAACAAGAACGAATGAATGGGGCCCTTACTGTCAACAAGCCCACACAGGTGAACTAGTTATGTACCTTTTGATTAACAGCCAGGAGACCACACTACAGTGACTTGATGACACTATGGACCAGATTCCACACCATTTAAGCAAATTCCTAAAATTACAGCATGAAAATCTCAAGTCTAATGAAATGAGTTTCTCTCTAG